TTGTATTTCTTCTTTTGAGTTCTTATACTAGGGAGACTATACGATATTTACACATGTGTGTCTGGTTTATTTCACTTATGAGTATATGTTCAAGTAGCATTCACTTCAATATAAAGGCTTGGAGTTAATCATTCTCAATAACTGAATAATACTCCATTGTGTAAAAATACCACATCTTTTTCAACCATTCCTCAGGTGATGGGGAAATACTCCAACTTTTAAAATTATTCCTCCTATAAAATATTACCTGGAGTCTGGTGATGCACTTGCTTAATAATTTCTTTGGCTTGAGAGATGTTCAAGATTTTAACAATGCACATTTCTTCCTGTGATTGTGTGGACTGAGGGACCAAATCTGTTCCCTGGTTCCTTCCTCTCAGCTTCTTTCCTTTCTGTCTGGAACCTGAGCTTCTTAAATTCAGTATTTTGTCCTTTATTTTATTTACCATGACATTTCTGTATTAGAAGCAGTCAAATCAAGACTGCAATCCCTTAAAAAATGAGATAAAATACTTTGACTTTTTATGCTTTGTCATCTGATGTTCTTAATCTTCTGGGAAGATACTCAAACTAGGTGAAATGGGAGCTCTCCTTGTTTTAGGAGAAATCTCCACACTGATTTTCATGGTGTTGCCCCAGTCTACATTCCAATCAACAGTGAAGAAGGGTTCCTGTGACCCACATCCCCTCCAGCATTTGCTATTTCAAGATTTCTCAGTGATAGCCTTTCTTTCTCAAGTGATATGGACTCTCAATGTTGTTTGAATTTGCATTCCTTAGTTGAGTAGTGCAACATGTTTTTCATGTATTTATTTGCCATTTGTATTTCTTCATCTGAGAAGTATGTTTTCATTTCAGATACCCATTTTTGCATTAGGTTTTTACTTTTGGGGTGTCTGATTTTTTTCAATGCTTCTTATGTCCTAGATACTAATCTTTTGTCTGAGGGACAACCCATGTTCATAGCAAGAGATTTTGTAATAGTAAATCTTGGTACCAACCCAGATGCCCATCAATCCACAAATGTGTAAGCTTTTTACACAATAAGTATTATTCATAAATAAAGGTAAAGTTGAGACATATTGAGGTCAATGAATACACCTTGAGACTATTTTCATAAATGAAATAAATAATGAATATGTGAAAACATCACATCTTCTCTCTGGTGTGACAGAAAGATTAGATTAGAACTAAAATACACAATAGACATTATGAAAGAAGAAAAGATTGTTCAAAATGAAAGAACAAATAGAGCTGAGGGAAAAAGAAGGAAATTATAAAAGGGATATAATGAAAACAGAGTGATAAATAAGGAAAGGAAGTGTCACTGAAACAAGGTGAAAGAATTGGAAAACAAGAGGAAGATATAACATATACATACATAAATTCAATGTAATGGATGCAATCTTTATTTGTTTCTAAATTGCAGTAGGAAACTGAATTTACAATAAAAATGAGTACTTAGTGTTGAATGTCCCAGAACTGAGTTCAGTTCTGCTCTCTCAGTGTGTTCCATATAATAATACATTTCCTAAAATATTCTTCTACAAAATGCTTTTATGTCTATTGAAGTCTTAATAAAATGTCACAATAAATAAAGCTGATATTTCATTCTATTCACTTACTGTGCAACAGTGCTACAGATTATTTCATGCTCTTATGAATCCTTAACTATGCAGGAC